ACCTTTGTAATCTTTGACTACCGCCCACAGGATGGGTATGGGGTGCACATGGGTATGGGGCCACATTCTGTTGGACTGCTCGCTCTTTAATCGGGACTCTCTTGTTGACTTTTTTGAAAAACTGATTTACTCCACAAACTCTGATGATACCTTCAGCTTTCCCCCCTCAGTCCTTTCTGCTTCAATCTCTTGCTACCCTAAACCCCTCCACTATCCACTCCCCTGCAGTGCTGTTTAGCCCTTGTAGTTTGGTGCTTTTCTTGATAATAATAACAATACTACTACTACTAATAATAATAATTTGGCCACCGGGAAAAAATTATTGAGGTTCATGGAAGAATGCCCAGTCTGTGTGTGCTGCCTGACCATACCAATACATTCTGCACCCAAACCCTTCCTCTTACTTTAATTGTAATGAGGTTCACCCGGCTTATTCTTGCCGTTGTCAGGTCTTAAAGGAATGGGAAATCCACTGTTTCAAAGAAGTTTTTCTTAAAACCACTGCAATCCCCCATCTCCGCCTCCAGGGAAGACTTCAATGGTTTCTTATTTTAGAGTTACTCGACGCCCAACCTTAGTGGCACTCTGAGGTTCTACCTCGTTGACTCCTCCTGTCCTTGCATTTCCATTCTTTCACTTGCATGTTTCAATATCTACACGGCCTCCCAAAAACCACCCCTTTTCCTCGCACCCCTACTTCCCAAACATTTTCCTTTTTCTATCTTTGAACCTAGTCCTTTCCCTCTTGTTGTATCTGTTACAGGTGCGAAAGTTCATCCTTCCCCTCATATTTTTCCCTTTCCCCTCTCCTGTCCCCACTTCAAGTTTCTTCCTCTCCCCCCCCAAGTTTCTTCCCAAGTTCCCTCGAACCTCTCATCCTTTACTCTTCTGTGAAAAACTTCCATTCTCTCCTTTGCTAAAATTCCACCTTCTACCTCTGATATTGTTCTGTCAGCTGCTTTCGGGTTTCATCTGAAATTGCCGAAGCCATCTCCGAATACATCAAAGAGACAAAACCTATATTGATGCTGATCCACCTCCCAATACCCCTCCTCCACACCTTACTCAACCTTCTACACAGGTCCTTTGCAGCAATTTCAGTCCTTTGCACCTTACAAATTATCCACTATCTCCATATGAAGACTTTACAAAACCCTACTAGTCTGTAGACACCTACTGCTTAATGTTGCCGGTATAAACATCTATTTGCAATCCTTGACTTATTTACAGTGGAATATTTGAGGCCTCAGTGATAATTGAAGTGAGCTTCAGGTGTGGCTTTCCAGCATTCCCCGGGGTTTGTCCCTCTTTACAGGAACCAAAAATTGCATCCATTGTTATCTATCCCATTTAAGGGTATATCTTATTGCTTCATTGGATCCTTTTCCCAGTAGAACCTTGAATGAAAGTACACTTTTTTTATACACTGGTATATCATATTCTCAGATCTTTGGTCTTAGTTTCCTGCATTGCTATATTGAAAGTGAATGGTATGATAATGAAGAATAGATAACCATACAAACTTTTTTTTGTAAAAAAGTGATATAGAGAAACATTATACAAGGTAAATTAACATATTTTAAATTAACTTTAGGGAATGAAGAAAAATTTACATGTCTTAATGTTGAATACCATTGATAAAGAACAGTTAGCAACATCTTGGCCCATTGTATTTACAACAAAAACTAAGTAACTTGCTGTGTCTTCATCTTCTCAATCATTGTATTTACAACATAACTAAGTAACTTGCTGTGTCTTCATCTGCTCAATCTTTTCCACAGAACTGAAGATCACTGAATATTTTTGAAATAATAAATCGTGCTTTGAATTGTTCCAGCTGATTATAACCTACCTTTATTATTGTTAATATGATTGTAGTTAACTTTGTAAGAAATCCTACTTAATTGTCTATATTAAAATCTTAAATGTTATTTAAGAATTTGGGTTAGTTTGGTAGAAATGCATTCATATTAGTGTACATAATATATATCTTATGTCACTAGGTTTTTGTGCCACCCTCATGAGCCATTAGTGTTCTTGTAGAGCCCCTGTTATCTTGTTCTTGGACTACCTCTTTTTAACCTACTATTACTAGAGCTGCTATTATTTTTGCTAAAACTCCACTCATTGTTTTTGTGTCACTACCACTTTGCTCTTATTGCCATCTTTCTCACTGTTGCACTACTTACAATACTACTATTGTTGTTTCACTACTTCCTTCCTTGTATATACTGTCTTCCTTTCACCTCACCAGTTACTGCTCCAATTTTTGTCTGAAAAATCCACCATAAATTCCATTTCTCATATGTGTGAGTTATTTGTAAAACTTATTTTTCTCTGGATTCAGATGTTAAAAGTAGACACTGAAAATAGCACATGAGTCTTAAATAATTACAATATATCCATGAAGGAAATTTCCAAAAAATTAAACGGAAAAAATACAAAGGTTGGCTAGAAATAATTTACACTTGCCAGTACATGGATTGGATGAAAGTTAAGACACTTGTACAAACTTTCTGGTTATCTTTATTGTAGACGTTTCGCCCTCCAGTGGGTTTATCAATACAGATTCTTTGGGGATAATAAGAAAACTGAAGAACTATTTTACAAAAGATGAGGTAATCCCGTCCCTAGCCTTTGGGGTTAGTGTTGACTACAAGATAACCAGATGTGTAAGAATGGTATATAAAAACCGACAAGATGAAGTTAAGACACATGTGCAACATGTTGCACATGTGTCTTAAAATTTCATCTTGTCGGTGTTTTATACCTGTCTTGCCCCAATTAGGGGCTCTGGTGGCCTGGTGGTTAACGCCCCTTCGCTTCACACGGTGAGGGCCTGGGTTCGATTCCCAGCCAGAGTAGGAAACATTGGACGTGTTTCTTTCCACCTGTTTGTCTATGTTCCCCATCAGTAAAAAGGGTACCTGGGTGTTAGTCGACTGGTGTGGGTCGCATCCTGGGGCATGACCTAAGGAGGCCTGGTCACAGACTGGGCCGCGGGGGCGTTGACCCCCGGAACTCTCTCCAGATAAACTCCAGATAAACTAGTTCATGGATTGTTTCAAATATTTAACCTTCATCCATGGAAAACAAGTCCCAATCATGACATTTTTTGATTAACTATTAAAATTATTCCCCCAGTTACTAAATCTTTTATTATTACTTAATTTTCAGTAAAATTTTAAACACTAAAAAAATTTTATTTTTAAATATTTACTTTATCAGTTTATAAATTTAGACTTTTTATTATAAATTCTAAAGTTGACATATTTTGTGAAAACCTGTTAAAGTAAACTTTATATACTTTATAAAGTAGAATAAATTCTATATAAAAAATAAAATTTTTTAAGTAGTGAAGGGGTAAGCCGTGGATGGAAGGTCTCCGTCAGATGCCAAGACCAGAGTGTCAGGAAAAATTTTCTGTTGTCTGAGTAATTTTTACTTATCTACCTAAATTCATAAAAATACGTTTTGTAAACATTGAAACTTGAGCGTTTGGTCAGTTTTGTTATTTTTAAATACAAATTTTTGTAACTTTTAAACCTGAACATTTTTTTCGATATTATATATCGTATGACACTTATTATAAATGTTCGATAAGTAAGGCATTGGGCAAGACCTAGTTATTCTTTATTCCAAAATGTTTCGCCTACACAGTAGGCTTCTTCAGTTTAACCGAGGAGGCAGCATGAAACGTAAATTTTTAGGTGGTCAGTCCCTCAGCCTGGAGAAGAGTTTTGCTCCATAGTCTTCTCTGTATTCGACAAATGAATCCTGCTGTTATTTATTATATTAACACACTGGCCGTCTCCCCCCAAGGCAGGGTGGCCCCGAAAAAAAAAAATTTCTTCATCATTCACTCCATCACTGTCTTGTCAGAGGCATTCTTACACTACAGTTATAAAAACTGTAACATTAAACATCCTATCCTACTTCCCATCTCCAGGACTCAAGTCCGGCCTCCCAGTTTCCCTGAATCCCTTCATAAATGTTACCTTACTCAACTCCAACAGCACGTCAAGTCCTAAAAACGATTTGTCTCAATTTGCTCCTAACACGCTGACGCATGCTTGCTGGAAGTCCAAGCCCCTCTCACACACAAAATCTCCTTTACCCCCTCCCTCCAACCTTTCTTAGGCCACCTCTACCCCGCTTTCGCTTCACTACAGATTTATACACTCTCCAAGTCATTCTATGTTGTTCCATCCTCTCTGCATGTTTTGAACCACCTCAACAAACCCTCAACAACTCAGCATTACGTACCGTAGAACTAATAATGTTTCTGCTATTGCCTTTGGCAATGTGGGTTTACAAGCTGCTAGCTACAACAACTTGGTAGACCAGGTGTCAACATGAAAGTCTGTTTTACTGCATCCTTGCAAGGGTAGACCCCATAAAATACGTCAAAAGTATTTTAACAGAATATGCAATTCTTTTCTACAGTTTTCCTTTGCTATATATTGCGATTTTCAGCTGAAATCTTTCAAATGGGTTAAACGTATCATCAGCAATTTCTTGTAGGAATTCTGTGCATTTTCTGATATTTTCCAACTTTTTTAAAAACCCCCATCTTTTCCCAAACCCAAGGTTTTTTGTATGTTCTCCTTAGAAATTAAGGTGTCAATATGTTGCAATGCTGTGAGAGAGACTGGCCCGAGGACGTCCCCTGTATGCTCGCTAGTGACTCTCTCAGTGATAAAGTCAGTTTCCCTAACTTCCTGACGAACTTCTTCATATTCATCCCTTTAAATTTTTAAGATATGGTTTTTTAGTTTTCTCATAGCGCTCTCTCAAGTTTTCAGTGGCAGTGACTATGTTAGATTGGTGGTATCTGACGCTTCTTTTGTGTGTGATGGTTTTGTACAAATTCCTGCGAAAAGTTATCTTGTTCTTTAAGAACGTCCTCAGTCTGTAGAAGATATTTACTCTGAGCTACATTCAACTGCTTCGTAAATACATTGAAGGGTCTCCTCTCCCATCTGCCAGAAAAAATTTGATCAAACATTCAGCATTTCATGCTCGTTATCACTGTCATATGCAGTATCAGTGTTCCTAGTATCATCAGTGTTATTAGCATATGTAGCAGAGTTGTTAAACTTGAAGTATGTTCGGTATGGTAAATCAGCTGTTTTAATTCCACTAAGAACTTGTGGTTTTTGCAAATCAGCAAAAGAGAGAAACAAAAAAGTATTATCCTTAATGTCTTTGCCAAACAGGGAGAACATTTGGTTAAAAATGAACTTTTGTGCTGGAGTTAATTGTGACTGTGACGACTGACACACAAAGCCTAGAGCATCAATGTGGTTAATACCGCCTGTACCTGTGGTCTTAATACCATCTGTACCTGTGGTCTTAATACCACCTGTACCTGTGGTCTTAATACCACCTGTGCCTGTGGTCTTAAAGAAGGTGCGTATCAGACTGGTGAACTCTCTATCTATCATCACTCTGTAAGTGTCACTAAACCCTGGAGTATCAATAATGGTGAGAGTGTTGGGATAGCTGAAACCCTCTTGATGGTGTATAGTGTAAGAAGTAATATATTGAGTCTTGCCCTGGCATCCACCAGTGTCTTCCGATATCAGTTTGAAGCGAAATTCATCCTTCATTTAACACCAAACACGTAATTGATGAGACTGTTGATCAAAGTTGTCTTGCCTGCTCCTGTCTTACCAACTAGTAAGATTACTTTTTCCTGACTATTATGCTCTGGCGTTCCTAGCTCATACTTTCGGATTAAATCTTCCTTGTTGTCATTAACTAACTTTGCATGGAGCATATAAATCCGTGGAGTACTTCCAGCCACAGGATTTAATTTACCACATAAGTTTTCTTTCGATATTTTATTGTTATTAGCTTTTGTAAGCTTGTTATTAGTATTTACTGTAAAGAGATCACTAGGATCACTGTCCACACTGCATCCATCATTGCCACAATCAGCAACTATCTTAAATCTTGGGACAGAGTTTGGTGTAACTTCTGTTCTACAGAAAAGCTTTTCTGCTTTAGTTTTTTCTATTTCTTCCCATGTGTTGGTCTCTTCTTTCAGCATCTTCACTACATAACTCTGTATGCTACAGTCTGAACCACGGCAGAGTGGCTCAGACCAACGTATTTCTATAGTTTTTCTTGAAATCTGATACACTTCTGGTTTACCTGGAGGGCTAGTTGGTCGAGTGGAGAACTGTGTTTTCCTTACTGGAGGGACCAACTCCGGCCTCACAAATACTCTGTACACTCACAAGGTAAGCACAACTGGGCTCAAGGTTTGGAATAGTAAATCTGCGAGTCTCAGCACTTGTCGTAAAGCTCACAGGACAACTGTCTTTATTGACTCGTTGACAAAGAATTTCATTATGTCTGGCAAAACTGATGCGCCATAGTCTGGTGACTTCCACTGAATGGAAATACTCTTGTGAGTACTTTGTGCACTGTCGGCTTGAGGTATTCCAGGTGCAGAGGGAAGTTCATAGTTTTCATGTAAGAGACGACCATACCTGTAACACTGAATATGAGCCTGAAATTGTAACATATTAGAAAAATTCCATTTCCACTACGAAGGCAGTTCTGTTCGTCTTTTATTAGAGCCATGAAAGTTTCTAAACAGTATGGCTTTCTCCATTATGGAGATTTTATCATCTATATCTACTCCAGGTACATCTTTTGTCGACAAGCTGTTCTCAGGTTTCCTTCCTTCATCAGTATGGTCACTTTTACTGTCATATTCTCTTGTATTATATAATTTCATTTTATGAAGTTGAGAGTTGTCTTGTGGCAGAAGAAATCTAAAGCAAAATAACGTAGTCATTCTCAGGACTCATAATTATGGAGTCAAAATCACTAGGCTGGGAGGCAAACTTTATATCTGAAAACATTTTGATATATTCATTGAGAATTTTGACACGTTTTTCTTCATCTTTAAGCCAAGTGTCTAAGTTATGGTAGCTATATGGAGAGGCTTCTTTTTTCATAAGAAGTTCAGCTAGACGGGATTCCTCGGTACCACCACCTCTGATTCCAGGTAGTAACTCTGACAGATCCCCTTGTAGTTTCAACTTATAAGCAGTAATCAGTGATTTAAATTCAGATATTTTCCTTTGCATGGCATTATTTGCTTCTACTACAGGAGTATTATCTAAATCGTTGCACCGCACAGTCAGCGAATGGAATTCTTCAAATACATTTTCTGTTTTAATGGTCAAATCTGCACTAATGGCACGGTCAAGTTTACAGGCTTTGTTATCCAACAGTGTTAGAGGATACAGGGTAACTTTGACTGGTACAGCTTTCTCTCCTTTCTCTCCTAAAAGATGTGGTAATTTCTTATAAACCTTAACAGCATCTTCGTAGCAACATGGATTTTCAGGAAGAAGAAAATCTCCATCGAAATTGCAAGTAAATTTCTTTACTTTCTTCTTATCATGCTCGGAAATGTCTAGCTCTCCACTCCCATTAATATTAATTTTCGGTAAATTTTTAACCATAACATTCAGATCTCCATGAACTTCCTTGTCATGTGAAGAGGAGGAACAATCTCTCTCGAAAACAAAGAAAGCCTGAGCCCCATATATTATTCCAGTGACTACATGTGTTGCAGTGCCTTTGTCAAATACCTCAGGATGTTCCACTCTCCCAGGACCAAGCTGCTCCATCGTCATCTCTTCCGATTTAGTAGTACACTTATAATGTAGAGTGACTCTTTCTTGTTTGCTAGAAGACTTCTCATTGTCTAAGTACTTTGCAGACCCCGAGACCTCAACCAGACCGGCAGAAAAACTTAGCTTCATTTCAGCATTTATATCAAGAGCATTGCTTTTCTTTTCCAATGAATCAGATGCAATTATGGAGAATTTCGAGGTTTCAAGATGTTGAATTGTTTTTCCCTTTAGTGTTGCTTGGTCCCAGAGAGTTATTCCTGGGATTAAATTTTCATTTACACAATCATAAAGATTTCCGAGACGAAATGGACGGCGCGAGCGCAGGGATAGAGAGGACTTTATCACCTGCAGGACTCATCTTGCATTCCAGAACTGACACCTAGCAAGAGTACTTCTGAAAGCCAGCAAGAGTGGGTTTGACACCCAGCAGAGTAGTTCTAACAGCCAGCAGCATTAGGTTTGACACTAAACAACAGTAGTTCTAACAGCCAGCAGGATTGGGTTTAACACTAATCAACAATAGTTTTAACAGTCAGCAAGTGGGGTTTGACACCCAGCAGAGTAATTCTGACAGCCAGCAAGAGTGGGTTTGACACCCAGCAGAGTAATTCTGACAGCCAGCAAGAGTGGGTTTGACACCCAGCGAGTAATTCTGACAGCCAGCAAGAGTGGGTTGACGCTAAACAACAGTAGTTCTATCAGCAGCAAGAGTGGGTATGACACCGAGCAACAGTAGTTCTATAAGTCAGTAACAGTAGTTCTAACAGCAGCAAGAGTGGGTTTGACACCCAGTAAACAGTAGTTTTATAATCCAGTATGGTTTTGACAGTCTGCTGATGGTGTTGTTCTGACAGTGTTGATGGTGTTGTTCTGACAGTTTTGATGGTGTGGTCCTCACACACTGCTGAGGTGTAGTTCTCACACATGCGGTCAAAACTTGTGTTTTTGGCCCTGTTTTTTGTTGGTGGGTGTGACACAGTACTCAAATTTGGCCTGGGAGTTGTTAGCTTTTGGTCCTATTTTGCGCTCATTCACAACTAAAAAAACTATTTAAGACTTTTTTTATGAGCTGAAAAAACTATACTAAAGTAAAAAAATGGAAAAAATTAAAAACATTTTGTTTTGTTAATAAATAATTAACGATTTTTTTTAATTATTTTTTACATGATTTTTTTTTGTTTAATTTTTTGTTTTTTCCAAAAGCTGGGGCATGAAAGAATATGTTACTCTCTTCCACATATGTCACCCCCCAAAGGGTATGCCCTCCCGGCCAATATCGCAATAAATAGCAAAGAGGTTGGGGTCCTGTGTTATGCTAACACTCGACATCGCAAGTTATGGAAATGCTCAAAATTCTTTAAAGATATGTCGGGACTCAAGGGAAATTTGGTAGCTTACCCCCAAGTTGGTCGGAGAGGGTTTTAAAACTGTGTCTTATCAAGTTCTCTGTTATAGTGTACAAAACTTGACATATCTTTGGTGAAAAAAAATGTAAAAGAAGTCTTTCATTGCTGTATTTTGTTTGGGCCTTACATAGCTAATTGTTCATCATGGCTCATTCACAAGCAAGTGGACAGGCCACAAGCTCCCCTGTGTTCAAAATATGGGAAGCCTGTCTGAAAACCGTTGTCGGCTGTATTTCAGCTTTTTTTTCCCCTACAGCGCTCTAAAAAACCTCCCTACATCGTTGCAGTGAAAACCCTGCAAAATTGTTGTGTGATACGTACAAGCTATTTGTGTGTCGAGTGTATTGCAAAAGTTTGTGTTTTTTGAAGGCGGGGGTTATCCCCAAGGGGACGAAAGTTAGGTTTTTGGTGACTGGTTACCTCGCAAAAACTTTGCCCAGACTATCTCTAAACTTGCTGGGAACTGCGCTTTCCCATTGGATTGGTATCAACAACACTGCAAAGTAAGTTTATTTGGTATACATAAATAAAGTTAAATAAATACTATCATCCCTGGGTTTACTGGAGAGAGTTCGGGGGTAAAACCCCCCGCGGCCCGGTCTGTGCCCAGGCCCCTGGTGGTCAGAGCTGACAACCAGGTTTTGCTGCTGGCTGCACGCAAAAAGTACGAGCCACACCCCGGTGATCCGGAATGACTTTAGGTGCTTGTCCAGGCCAGTTAAAGACTGCCAGGGGTCTTTTGGGTAACCCCCCCTTATGTGTGTGGGGGGGCAGTTGAAAGTCCGGGCCCCTGACACTTATTGTATGGTCTTTAACTGCTATGACACCTCTTTTTTTGGGGGGGGGATGGTGCATCGTTGAAAAAAGTCTTGCTTTCGTAGTGGGATTCTCGTGTCAGTTCGGTATTTCCCCCTTTTGGATTTTCCAGGTGAAAAAATCATGTACTCTCCCCCCGGGTTTCGGGAATACAGGTTTGGGAAAACCTAAGCGCTCCATAATGAGGTTTTTTTATCCCCGTTATGGCGCCGTGAAATTTCTCGTACTTTTCTGGTCGGAATTTCCCCCCTTAAAAAGGTGCTTTTAGTGTGCGGGCAAATTCCAGCCTAGATAAAACAGTGACCTGAAGGTGATCAGGGCTTGGCCCCCTAGTTTTGAAGGTTTATTATCCATCCTGTCATTTTTTGCAGATGCGTTTGAAAACAATTTAGGCCCTTTAAAAAGGTGGTCCTCCGACATGTCACCCCCAGTCTTTGACTTTGGTTTTCGCTCTATTTTGTGGCCCGAATTTTTTTTTACTCTGATGAAGTTTTAAATTCCTCATGTTTACCATTTTGGGGAAATTTGAAATTTCTCCCCTTGAACTTATTGTTTTCTGACCCCCATGAAAGATTTGGTGATGCCCGCCTGGCCTTGCGTGTCTGAAAGGGAAAGACCTGTCTGCAGATTCGGGTGTATCTGCAAAGGAAGACCCGGGCTGTGGCGACATCTTTTTATGTCGGATTGAGGATGAGGAACAAGAGGGGAGGAGTACTGTCCCTTGTGGAACAAGCTTTTCCCGTAGCTGCCTCGGACTTTACTCTTTTGACGATACTCTCGTGTTTTAGGGGAAATTATAGATCTCGCCCGACTTTTCCCTGTTTTCCTTTAGACGCATTTTGTGCGCTTTTTACCCCCATGGCCTTGTCAAAGGTTTTTGAAAAGTTGTTATTACATCTGCTTTTTTTTGTCTTCTAGTGCTTTAGGACCTTGTTTTGTGACCCAATAGTTAGACGACAAGAGCGACCTGTTTAAACCCATGTTGCCTGGGTTTTAAAAAAACTGATGGGTTTTAATGGGTGGTGATCTTCTTCTTAGGACCCTTTCAAAATTTTTATGTAGGGGATGTTAGTGCTATTGGTTCTGTAGTTCTTTTGTGTGCTTTACTGCCCCTTTGGGAGTGGGGCTATGCTGTTGTTTTTAGAACTGTGGGACCCCCCGTGCCCTGCGCTATGTGTAGAAAACCTGGGATAACCCAAAAAGGTCAGTGATTTTTTCCCATAGGAGTCCTTTTAAATCCCTTATTTTATATATAAGAGATAATATGGAGTTTCCCTGGGAGAGTTCCGGGTGTCAACGCCCCGCGGCCGGTCGTGCCGATCTCCTGGTGGATCGAGTCTGATCCACCAGGAGATATACGAAAAATAAGATGAAATTAATTTTTTTAATTTACATGTGTGTTAGCAAAAAAAAATAAAAAAATATTCACTTGTTTGCCCAAAACTGAAAATGCCTCAATGATGTGGGGAAAGTTTTAGCAAAAAAAGGTTCGAAAACCCAAAAAAATGTATTGTGGTGTCTACAACCCTCTGTGCAACACCCCAGCAATTCAGGAACAGCTTTTAAAAAATTGATAACTATCGGAAAATTTCCCACCGCCCCAACATCTTGCTTGGGGGATTTAAGTAAGGCACCTAAAATGGAGGAATATAGAAAAATAATGTTGTGCAGTGATAACCCCAGGAGGTGCTCGGCCCCGAGAATCACCAACACGAGCTTTTAAATTTTGCAAAAATTTTAACTTAAACCCAGCAAAAATAGAGCCTCTAGATGGGAATACACTTGCCCTCATCTTCATAACAATGATGATTGATTACGAAATGTACCTATCAAAAACAATATTTTCAGCAAACATATCGAGGTTCAGACTTGTTGTGCGGAGCCCAGCCCGACATATTGAGATTAGTCACAGGGGAAACCCTTTTCCCCAATTTTCAATTCAAAAACCCAAAAACATAAAGTGGGCCCAAAGTAAACCAATCCAAACCCGATATAAGCGGGGAAGATAGCTGAACACAGACCCCAACTTTTCCCTAGAAAGATTACTCGGTGGCATCGGTTTTCTAAAGGGTTTTTCCCTTTTAAGAAAAGGAGGGTAGATGCAAAATAGAAAGAGACAGGCTTTCCTGTGGCATGCAAAGAGTAGTAATTTATTCGGCGCATGTCACACCCTTTTTACAGGCTATTCCCCCACCCAGAAAACCGGTTTGCAAAGAGTTTGAGGGGCCCCCGTCGTTAATAGTGCCAGGTTCTGCAATAAAGAGGGTTTTTGGCAATCGCAGGGTTATGGGGTACCGCTCCCCTTTCTGCCTTGTCTTTCCCCATTTAGAGCTGGTTTAAAGCCGGTTGCTTTTTGGCTTTTTTTTCCCTTGCTTACCGTGGGTGCACTTTTACTTTCACTTACATAGTGTAATAGTGTTCAAATTGGTAAAGGTAATATAAATCTAAACTTTTTCTGCTGTGTTTATTTTGCTCCTTTTAACCCCGGGGGATTTTAAACAGGCCATTTGGAATCCTGGGTTTTTTAATATGGGGGCCGTCTGGGATTGGGTGGATTAGAAAAAGGGTTTGAGTTCAGGGTGGTGTGCAGGAACTTGGGGCACTTTGCGTCTGGATTGCTTTACAAATTTTGCGTGTCAGTTGCTTTATGATAGCCTTTCTATTGTGTGATCGTTAACAGCTCGTACTAGCTTGTTCGGTGTGCTCGCTTCACTAAGGTCAATTTTAAAGAACAGTGTAGCTTCGGGATTGCTTTACAAATTTTGGTTTTGTCGTTGTTATACCCTGTTCGGTGTGGAGAATTTTGCAGTGGCTTTGCTTGTTGTTTATTCTGAAATCGTATGGCTAGCTAAGCGTTTTTTGAAATTAACACGTTACGTTGGGGTATTCTGCAATCTATGTGCATGCGAAAACTTATCCCCACCTAGACAGTCAGACTTTTTGGTGTCGGCATATATTTTTGCATAACCTCCCAAAATTTGTCCCTATGTTTGTTGGCAAATTGCCGTTCCTGGCTTTGCATACAAAACGCAGTCTCACAGTGCGAAACGCTTTTCATGTTGCTGACAAATTTAGAAAAAGGATGGCACATAGACCCCTCCCTCTAGGGGCTGGGGGAAAAAATCCTTGTT